GCTGCAGCGAGGGCCGCGGGAAGCGCTCCCGGCCTCGGCACACCGTGCGGAGAGGGCACCGCGCCGGCGGCGATTTGGGATGAGATTTTAACATCTCTGAGGTCTGTCTGGACAGACCAGAGTTTTTGGAGTGCTAATGTAAAATTCTTCAAAAAGAGACCCTTCAAAAAGGGCTGAAGTGCTCCGTGATTTCCCAGCGAATTTAATGCATTGTCTCGTATCGAATGTATGGCAGTAACCCTCTGAGTGATGAAAAGCATGAGTAAAAAGACCTTCCTGGGTTTTTTACTCTCTTCAGCATTACAGCAGATTGGTTATTGTTAAGTTTGGTTTGGGTTTTGCTTGCTTCTGTTTTCCAGCTGGGATGAAACTCATTTTGGGAAGATGGGAAGTTACTACATTAATCGGACCTTCTTCTTTGATGTCCACCCCCCTTTGGGGAAGGTAAACTGCTCTTCTGTTGCATGGTTTAGAAGCCACAGGAGTAGAACAATAAAAGTCTGCCCCTTCTTTCCTAACTGTCCTTGACATCATGGTAATTTGCATTCTGTATCCAGAGCCTCACAAAAATACTTTGCATATGCGAAAAAAAACCAACGTTGCATGTTGAGTGTTTGAAGGGCTTGATTTTAAAAAGTCAGTGTGGCACTTAATGGTTTGAAGGGGATGTCATGGAATCCTAGATTTAAAAGGAAACAAAGAGTTCCTGATAACTTCTGTGCCTGATAACTTAAATGGCTACACAAAGGACCCTGAGAGCACTGATTTACTGTTCTGTACATAATGAACTTGTTTTAGCAACAGTGTGTAGTGTTGGTGAGGGTGCCTCAACAAAGTTTTCTTCCTTTCAGACTGAGGTTCCTGAAACTAAAGAATAAGGAGCTGTGGGATAATCTCAGAGATAGAATTCTCTCTGTTTAATCCCACACCCGCTATTTATCTTGAGTTTGCAGTTGTGCTTATAGTCCATAGCCAAAATTGTCCTCATTTTGCCTTCAAAGGGCAATCTGTCTGCATGTGATCTCTGTACATAAACTCCTGTTTGGATGGTATATCTGAGTTAAGTAGTTGCCCTCTGGATCAGTCTTGGCTTCTATAAAAATCTTACTTGCTACTGGCTTGGATACTTCTTCCTCCAGCGGGATTTCCCTGACCATGTTTTTTCACCTTTCTTCTTCAGATGCTGATTGGACTTGCTGGCTACCTGAGTGGATATGATGGTACATTTCCTTTCCAAAAGCCAGGGGACCGATATGAGCAGCACAACTACATGGGAATGAGAGGGGTAAGGCTCTCCAGGCTAGTATCAAGCTGTTTAGCTGTGCTTTTTCAATACAGAGGGTTATATCCTAACTACAACCCTCCTGGATCTGATCAGAGATCTGTTTAGCCTTGTGCCTTGTCTTTCAGCTCTTTAGAAGAGTGTTAGTGGTTATATTGTTAATAAGTCTTAATGTCTGGTTGTGAGAGCCCAGGTAAGAAATTAGGGTGATTATTGAGGATGACTCTTGCTGCTGACTAGTGAGACTACACTCACGGAGGGACAGGTATCTTGCCTGTTCTGCAAAGCAGACGTTGCTGAACTTGGGCTTTTCTCACTCCGTTGTGCCTGGCTGCTCTGCTGAGGAGCCAAGGATGTCAGAAATCCAGGATCATCCACTGCCACCCACCTGTGACACTGAGCCGAGTAAGCTGACGGAGCCTGGGGCGAGGGGTGGAGTTCAGAGCTGTATTCTATCTGACACCCTGGCTGTACTGCTGGCTAGGAAGACCAAAAGCCGGATAGCTGGCAGCAGATAAGTCAAAAGGAGAAACAGTGGCCAATTGCTAGTACCTAGAAAGAAGAGTGTAAACTGGGAAGGCATGTTTTCTCAGTTTAGTTTCCAGGAATTCATGGTTCTAGATTTCCCTGTGCCAAAGGTGGGAGAAGTGCTAGAACCAGACATTGAAGAGAGTAATTTTTACTGTGATGTTGCTTTCTTTGGTTTTGATTTCTGTTCTTTCTCCTCCAACTATCCTTTGTCTCATTTGTTAGGGGAGGTGAATCTAGTCTGCTAAACATGTAAGGTACAGGTGCATTTTGTTACTGGATTTCATATTCTAGTGTCTTGCTAAAATAAGCTGACTATAGTGGATGTGTCATGTACCAACCTGACATATCTTTTTATGAATATCTGCTGTAGTCTAGCAAGAGAATGACTGAGTGTTGTTATTGACACCTCTACAGAAAAGAGTAAGCAGCTGTCCTCTGAATGGTATCTTTCTTCACTTGGCTTTTGTCTGATGTTCCTAGTGGCTCGGTTCAGCTACTGCTGCACTTCCAGTTGTTGGTAGGTGTAGAAGGAAGAGAGGCTGTGAGTGCACGTTCACCTTGTAGAGGGTTATAACTTCTCCCATGATCTTTTCCTGCAGTTTTGTGCATTCCTTGGCTCCTGCTTGGTTCCCTTTGCCTACCTCACAGTGTTGGAACTGTCAAAGTCACTGCCAGCAGCCTTACTTACAGCTTTCATCCTGATTTTTGGTAAGTATTCCTGTTACAGCAAAATTGAACAGCTTAACTACTCAGATAATTTAATTTCTGGATTATCATGTGTTACCTAACCAGGGAATATTTAGGTTAATGAGAGATGTTCTCAAATGCAAAGTAATTCCACTTTATATATATTGGACCACATTTCACCTCAGTTTTAAGAATTTTTATGTGATGGATGGTCAGGAATGATTTTGCCCACTAGTGAAATATTCATGTCTCCCGTGTGAATTACAGAGATACGTAACAGCCTCTGCATTACTGTGGAAGAGTTCTCAGAAAGAAATTAAAAAGTTCCTTGTTGAATTGAGCCAAGTAGAGAAATTAACATTGCAAATGGAGTTACCCAAATTGGGGTTTTGTGAGGACACACAGATACCGAGGCATGAAGACTTAAAATACTCAAGTCATATTCATTTTTTATAAGTTTGACTTTATCATGGTCCTTTATCACCATGTTGGTGCCTTAGGTAGATCATTGCTGTCCATAATGCTCTCCATCTGAGTATGTTAGCAGCACTTTCCAAGTGGTGTTTCACAGATGCTGTTGAACTGCCTGTTTTTTGTTGTGGGTTGTTGATTTATTTTTTTTAATTTGTTACCTAAGTAAGAGTTGAAATGTTCTGACTTCCTGTTTCTAAAATTTCCCTCCTTCCCTTTGTCTTGACTACCCTGAGGAAACTAACTTCCCACAATTTTACATTCACTTTGGAACTGCAAACCTTTGTGATATTATTGTGTGTCTCCTTGCAGATACAGGCTGTATTACTTTGTCCCAATATATTCTGCTGGATCCCATTCTGATGTTCTTCCTCATGGGAGCGGTTCTGAGTATGGTGAAATGTAACAGCTGTGCAGATAGGTAAGATAAAGATGATCATTTTGTTATACTAGCTGTTCAGCTTTCACAGAGGTAAAGTACTGGCACATGTCTGCCATCGGTAGTCTGGGTGAATAGCTGAAATGAGTTTATTTCAGGAAATTTGGAGGTGAAAATAGCTGTTGGTAGGGGAAAAAAGTTTTCGTATATGGGTTTGTTTAACTAGGGAGAAAGTGTTGTGATGGGCACACCAAGAGAGAGCCTTAAATAGGCTATTTTAGCATGGAAGGACATTTCAGCAGAAATAGTTTATGGAGTTTATGGAACTGCAAATCCTGAACATGAAGGTTAAAGCTTTTTAAAATTTGACAGGAAAGAAAGCTAGTAAAGGGCATTGTAGGTTAGAGAAGGAAGAAAGAAGTATGGTTGTAACTTATTCAAGACTTTGGTCCATAATGGCAAAAATATTAATTTGTTATCTTGAGCCAGTTACTTTGTTTCCAGTCTAGAGAAACACAGCTTATCTGTCACTGTAATCAGATTGGCACTTAGAGAAGTCCTGCACGCTGAGGTAAATAGTGTGATTTGTTTGATTTAGAGAAATTGTTAAAAAATGTATGAGGGAAAGGATGTTTCTGAATGAAGTAGTCAAGTTGCTGAGGATATTTGCCATAGACTGATCCAGAAGGGGATGGTGATTTGTAGGTACTGGAATATGTCAAAAGACTTCTTTGTGGCTGGGTGCAGCCTGTAGTGTCATGTAGGACCATCCAAGGTCATCCTCATCTACAAACACAAACCCCCAGGAGTGCAAGCACTGAATTACAGGGCAGTGTTTGATCAGCCCTGTGTGCCTTCACCTGCACTTATTTTTCATGTCTTAGAGCTAATCCTGTTGTCAAAGTAGTTGATGCTATGCAAATTAAGAGCCAGCTCTAGCTATTGTGTTGCTTAGCAGGTCATGGGGATTTTGTCTTGCCAAAAAAATACAAGCATAAAGGCACTAGAGTCAGTTGGAAAAGGGTTTTAAATTCTGCTCTCATCTTTTCTCTGTGGTTCAGTTTAATTTCAGTTTATAATTTGTTTGCTTTTTGCTGCAGATATTATTTGTGCTTTGGGGATAGATGTTTTCCATTATGACTTTCCTGCCTTAGTAAAGGTGGCTGCTCTTTTTCTCCTGTTCTTCCCCATGTCCCTAGCTTTCTGACAGAAGTTCATGTTTTCTGGGGCAAAAGTCATGTTTCTTTTTTCATAACTTCCATGTGGTCAGACTTCCTTCACACTAGTATTTTAGCTTACACCCAGTGTCTGTATTTCCATCCTTAAAGGGGAGATCTATGGTTGCCCCGTTTTAAGTGTTAGACCCTTCTGAAGCCTGTATCAAGGCTTCACAAGCCTGTATCTGAAGACAGTATCCTTGCATGATTCTAAAATTAATGAAATACTCTTTTTCTATACCTCATGGGCTCTTGAGAAGGTGGAATGTAATTTTGGGGGGATTTGCTGTTTATTTTCGTGATCGTAGATGGCCATTCATGTACCCATTGTTTTATTTGCTGACTTGCTCTACTGGTCCTGCAGGCCATTTTCTGCCTCCTGGTGGTTCTGGCTGAGTCTGACTGGTGTGAACCTTGCTGGAGCAATGGGGGTAAAGTTTGTTGGCCTCTTTGTAGTCCTCTTGGTTGGCCTGAACACAATCTATGACCTATGGGACTTGCTGGGGAACCTCAGCCTGTCGCTGGTGAGTTTCAAAGACTTTTTTTACATCAAGGGTTTCTTTGTTTTGTTTGTTTCATAATCCTCTTAAGTCTTTGACAACCATGTAACTACCCAAACAGTGATACTCTGCAGCAAACAGGTGCTTCTGATGTGGATGATGATAAATAAAGATTAAGGTTATAATGAAAAGAATATTGCCAGACTTTTGGAAAAAACGCTTACCTCAGCAGAATGTAATGTCATAAGTGCACAGCAAAAAGATTGTTACTGTTTCCTGACAGAAACTGTTACCCTTCCAGTGGGATGAATTTTCAGTCTAAGCTAAAAACGCTCATTGGGAATGGCTGTACGACGGCCCAAAGCAAGATGTTGTCCAACATTATGTGACCTACTGAGGAGTATGTGCTACCTGGCAGACAGGCATGTCTTGCAGCACTTTGTTTGCATAAGCAGTGTGAGCTCAGGCTCTGCTTCATGAGAGTAAGGGGACATAGGCTGCATGGCAGGAGCATGCTGTAGTCCATCTCGAGTCACAGAAATGCTCTGCAACTTGTAGTATCCGTAGCCAGTTCAGAGGATGAAGACAGCCATAGCCTGCTTGATTTCACACACATTTAGTTCTTAGAAGCTCTAAAAAATTTGCTAGAGTGTTTGAGTGCCCTGTTCTAATATATTGCATTTTGTGTTTGTGGACTGTGAAATCTGCTATTCAGAGAAACCCCTTGACGTACCATTTGCTGTCTTGCAGCCAGCAGGAAGATAAATTCTTCAGTCACGTCTTTTAAAAGGTGTTCAGTTCTCCTCTTGTCTCAACCTCTTCTGATGCTTGAAAATTCTATTTCTTTCACTTAGTGTTTGTGTATTGTTTATCTCATAAACAGTGGGGGTTCAGGGGGAGTTTTTCTCTTCCTGCTGTGTGATTTGTTTTCTTTGATTAATGTGAATCAATATGGGCTGCAAAGATGCAGTGTTCCAACTCCGGAGAAGCACTTCTTGGGCAAAGTCAATTAATTGCATTTGAAATGGAACAAATCCATCATGTCTACGCTTTCTGCCAGCAGACAGCTTCACAGTGATTTCATTTGTGCTGCTGGCAGCAAAGGCAGCAAGCCCCTGGGTGTTAGAATATATAAGGAAATTTACTGCAGAAGGTAGATGCTTTCTGAATAACTACTTGGCACTTTGGTGCTTGAGGAGAGGGAGGGGAAAAATGGTGAGGATTAAACTTCTAAAAGCCTGAGTAACTTATCTCTGCATTTGTTAGGAAGCTACTCATGATTATTTATATTATAGTTTCTGGGACTAATTTGATTTCTAGGATTCTCAACTTATCTGTCCACTGTTCTGGTTTGCTTGATGATGTCTTTCACATGCATTTTCTCTTTTGATTTCGCACTGAAGTCTGTAAGTTAAAGAACACCTTTTCATGAAGACTGAAGCATACTGAGGTGATTTTAAGCAGGGAACTGGATTAGTTCATGTGCCTCTCCACTGCATAAATTTGGTTATGTACCATCAATCAGCATTTTTCCAAGTGTCCAGTGGTTATTAAGTGTTCTGCTGAAGGACTTGAGCTGAACAACTCTTTCTTCACTTCAGTGAGTTCTTAGTTTTGTAATGTGTTCAGCTCTTTTTTCCATTACTTCTGAATTCATTGGATCTGGTGTTAAGAGATGGAGAATGATTAGCTTAATGATTGTGTCATAGATATCATGTTAAAATAAATATGGAGAGTAGCAACTACATCTGCTTTCATCCTCTTTGAAGTTAGTGTGGACATTTAGCAAACAAGTTTTGCTACTTAATTGTTTTCTTCTCCTACAGCTAATTATCCACTCTGTATTTTACATTATTTACTACCAGCAATGTCAGTAGGATGTGAGTATGTAATTTCTTCTCGGGCATCTGTGTACAAAACACCTTTTCAAGTGGTTTGCATAAAATACTTTGCTTTTGTCTCGAGGCAGGTGAAACACAGGTTTTGCTGCTGTCTTTTCTGTAGCTTCTGGCTGAGCAGCAATAGAAGTTGCAGTGTGAGAGCATCCTTGCTAAGCAAGGTGTTTTCTGTGAGTGAAGCATGTCTAGGTCCCAAAGAAGTCCTGATTACATTCACATTTGCTTAGCGAGACTTGATGGGCAAACAGGTTTCCATTTTCCCTTTAGTTTAGCTTTGGCAGTTACTGTTCTGGAAGCCATCTCCATGCTGTGATTTTGTGTCAAGATGTGTACCACTGAGAAACAAGTTAAGGTCCTTGTTTTCAAAGTATTTTCAATGGGAGCTGCCCAACCTCCTTTGCCAAAGTTACAGATGGTTCAGCGCTTTGGAACTTTAAACTCTCCTGTTGTCTGTTTGTGTCTTTTTCCCAAGACCCTAAAATTTCAAGGTACCGTAACACCAGTTTGGAGTTACACAGCAAGATCTGCCTCAGCGTTTACCTCTGTCTAGGCCTTTTTGAGGTAATTGTGCAGCCTGCTGAGCTTGCTTGCATAGATAGCAAGCTCCAGCTATAGGACTTCTGCTCAGAATCCTGGGAAGTAAGGAGTGGAGTTGTTCCTGCAGCTGCACTGTTTGATCTAGGTTGTGTTTGTTGCAGGTCATGTTTGGGAAGCATTTACTGGCTCGTGTGCTCTGCCTCATCGTGCTCCCACTCACTCTCTACACGGCTATGTTTGCTGTTCATTTTACGGTATTAAATAAAAGGTATTTCACAATGTTTTCTCCAGAAGAATCACTTGTCTTTGCTTTGAATGAAAGGCTATTGATTATGTATTTCTCAACTTTCAGTGTCAGAAGCACAGCCACAAGCTGTGTCTTTGTTTAGTTCCCTTCCCAGACCCCTGCATTGTTCTTACAGAGAGCCTCTGGCCAAGCTGGCAGTGAAACTGAATTTGAGCTTGAGACTTTCTGAAGTGCCAACCAAGTAACCTAACCAAACTATCTGTCTCCTTTTCTTCCTCCTCTCTTTGCTGGACCTGAAAGTGTCTCAGCTCCATTCTTAGTCCCTTTGTTTTTGTAATTAAAAAAAGTCATTGCATTCCTGAAAAATGCTTTGGCTGTGATTAAAAATGTAGGTCTGAGTGTGCCTGAAAGGAGGGCTCTTCTCTGAGTGCATGAAACCAAGGGGTGCTTTTTCAGATGGAAAGAACACAACAGCTAGTAAAATGGCCAAGTAATGTTTTTCCATATGCCAGCATTAAAAAATGAAGTGATAAGCATTTCATTATAAAAAAAGAAGATAAAACTAAGCCACAGAGAGAGGCTTTGTTATATCTATCCTGACAGTAGGTCAGTGTATTTGTTGTAAGAGCATCTCCAAAGATAGTTAAAGTGCTTTGTGCAGTGCCAGCACATACATTTGTGTGACCTTATGTCCTTGCAGCACTGGGCAATTTCCTGCAAAACTGTCTTTATCTGCTGTGATTCACAACATTAGAGTGTGTGCTTCTAAGGGAACTGCAATCATTCTTATTCTGATGCCTTGTCTGGTTTTATTGTCTTCTGTAAAACCAATTTGATAACATATGCCAGAGGTTTTTTTGCCTGTTTATCCAGACTTTGAATTATCACGTTATTTACTCTTTTATAGTGGTCCTGGGGATGGTTTCTTCAGTTCAGCATTTCAGTCCCAGCTGATCGGAAACAATCTTCATAATGTCTCCATTCCAGAGCGTGAGTGTCCAAGCGAATAAACCACTCTGTGTTCTCAGTGTACATGGGGGTTTAAATAAAAACAGCATCTCCTGTGACTCAGTGCCTAACAGTGTAGATTATGCCTTCATGGTCATGGTCAGATCCATTCTGTTCCTCTGTGCAGTTTTATGTATTGACAGAAAAGAAAAAGGCAGAAAATAACACCGTGTTCAGTGCATGGTCAGTAGCTGTTTTATCATGTTCGTTCTAGAGGGAAAGATGCCATTTTGTCCTGTTCACCTTAGGTTTGTAGGTGTTCAGATGTGGGAGTTGTTTCCAAAATGCGTAAACAAAAACTCAGCTTCTTTATGACATGGCGTGCCCATGGCGTAGCTGTGTTGTATTCAGAATGCATACAGATTTAGGGAAAAGATGGCTCTATGGTTGTTCCCTAATCCTCAGATTGGCTAGGGACTACTGAGTCTTTAATATGGTTTCACTTTCTGGTTACTTCAGCTTTTCTCTGGCCATTCCCTGCGCCACAGCTGCTACTGGGAGAGCACCAGGTCTATTCTCCAAGACTGAATTCTCTCACTTGTGTTAGGAGGCTATGAAGCAAGGTGTGTTAAGCCAGGTTTTCAGCTCTGCTATCAGATAGCTGAGCTAGTCTCCCTTCTCTAGGGTATTGCTATAGGGATTGGGCAATGAGCTGCTTCAAAGTAGTCATATGCTTTTTAAACTTAATTGTGTTTTTAATTTGACCATGTACACTTAGGGTAAGCTATCTCAAACCTCTCATTACTGAAATTACATGCAAAAGAACCAGCACTTCTTTTTATGTTAAAATTCAGTAGGAGAGTTTTAAGTGTTTCAGCCCAATGTTATGTAACAGTTTCACTGAATCGTGGTTGGGGATGGAAGGTAAACTTGCAATGAGCCCTGTGAAGTCCAACAGAAAATGAGCTTGTGTCAAAATCAAGCAGGGGAATGCATGCCTAATCAGAGCACTGCAGACTACCTGGGGGAGATACTTACAGGAGAGCTTCCTTGTGTCTTTTTTCTTCCTTCCTTCCCGTGCAGACTTAGCATATGGATCTGTGGTCACAATGAAGAACCTTCGGATGGCAGGGGGATACCTTCACTCCCACTGGCACCTGTACCCAGAGGGCATTGGGGCTCGACAGCAGCAGGTGAGTGTGTTACAGTGGTATTGCCTGTGACTGCAGCCACCAGCTCCCACTGCATTTAGCATTAAGGGCTGTTGTGACAGGAGCTATGTACTTACTCAGCATCTGATACACTCTCAGAGCCACCACTGTGCACTTGGCTTGGAAATCTCACTAAAAATGAGGCTTAAAGAGACCCTGCAACATTGGATCAGAGGGGTCACTTCCAGTAACAAGGCTTTGCTGTAGTATCCATAAATGGAGGCCAAGAGGACTTCAGAATAGTCTTCCATAATGAAAGTCACCTCAAGGAAGGCTGTAAAACTTACGTTTAAAACAAGTACATTATCTTACAGGTTTCATGACTGTATTTTAAAAGCAAAAGAATAGGACTGCTGTGTGGTGTTTTCACCCCTGCCACTGGCCTCCCTGACCCTATGTGAATTCCTCTCCTCTTCCCCTTGCTGAGGGTTGAGGAACATGTGGCACTAAAAAATTTGTAAGGCTTTGCTCATTAAATTAGATATCTGCACATGTGTAAGCTAATGTAGACATAATGAAACCACCCTAGCTAAGGGCTTTTGATTAAGTGATTAAGCAGTAAATGAAAATAGAAATCAGGAATCATATACCTGTCGCTAATGAAGTAGTACAAAAATTAGGTGAATTTCTTATTTTTATCCATCATCATCAAGCCTCATAAATCTTTGCAGCTTCTGCACCTTTGCCAAGATGTATTTTGCAGTTTGCATATTAGTGTCTAAAGATTGTTCTGAGCTTCTTTAAAGATGGTTGTCAGAGAAACACAAGTGTTTGGTTTTTAGCTCCCTTCTGTCTCTGTGGTGAGGAGGAAGTTTTCAGAAGTGAAAACTTCGTCTCAATCTTCTTTTCCTGTTGTTCATTGCAATCAAAATGTCTAATACTCTTACGTGACATTGATGTTTGTTACAGTAGATGGAGGTGCCATGCCAAAACTGGCTCAAGGATAGGCAAGATTCAAGTAGAGAGCATACTTTGTGACACTAAAAGCAGGGAATGGGGGCTTGGAGAGGACACTGATGGGAGTTTCCTTGAAGAAAGTGAGAAAGGGTAGAGATTTCCCCCCTGTGTTTTCTACCCTGGCAGTAGGACAAGGGTAGGATTCTGGAATAACTTGGGTGCTCTGGAGAGGGGAAGGGAATTGAGAACTTGGAGGAGATTTAGGGTGGAAAAAGTGATCTCTCTGCCTCCTCCCTTCCCTCCTCTCCTGATGGCTTAACCTCAAGGTATGAGGTTCCACCTCTAGCTTCCCCATTTTCCCCACCCTCAACACTCCTCTGTGTTCTGCCTCTCACCTACCCAGTGAGCCATCTGCTCTCACCTGGGTGGGGGGAACAGGTCTGGGACTGAGCTAGCATCCCACAGAGCAGGACTTGCTGCTGCTGGAAAAGAAGAGTGAGCAAAGGGGACATAGTTTCTCACGCTTCTCAGGGAGGTATCCCTGGGGAGTAGCACTCTGGAGTCAGATGGTCTCCCTTGTCCATGGTAGCAGTCACTCTGTGTGAGGCTGAGCAGGCATGTGCAGCTGTAAAACAGTTGATCCCTGAGTCCTTCTTACCTTGTCTGGATCTTTTGGCAGAAGTGTTATGGTTGTCACAGTCAGCCTGTTGTCATAAATTGCTACTGTCTGTAAAGCCAATGCTGCTTCCATCTTCTGGTTCTGGTCAGTGATTATTCAAGAGCTCAGGTTTGGATATCCTGTTGTTGTAGAAGGAGCCTCTAAGTAGGGTGAGAGGAGGTTAAACTGTATGGTTGGAGGCTGTTACTCATGATGCGTATGAACTGTCATGAAGTGTAGTGTTTCTAAGTGTATGGGCTATACGCTGAGTAAGAGGTGTGATCTGGGTTAAAGAGTGGTCTGTAACTCACTTTCTAGGGGGCACTTTCATAAAAGTAATCACAGAATGTCTGTATTACTGGTGCATTCATTTGGGACTTAGATTTGCTGCTGAATGTATGTTTGTTATCACCAGCTCTTTTTCTTGTTTGGTAAAATATTTAATCCTGTTCTTTCAGGTCACTGCCTACTTACATAAAGATTTGAATAACCTGTGGATTATAAAGAAACATGATTCGGATACAGGTAACAAATACCAATAAAGTGCCTTGTATAGCTTCTGCTTTGTTTTTTCACACATTCTGAGTTCCCTCCAGGACAGAGTATCCTTCATGGATATGAGGGAGACAGAAGGAAGAGCAGGGAGAAGCTGGCTCTATCTTGATTAACACTGTGTGCATCTACTGTGTTTTTGGTTTTTCTCCAGATTGTACAGCTGAAGTAAATAAGCTTTTCTCAGCTGAAGGTTGCATTGACAATTTTTCAGCTGAGTGGTGCCACAAATAACAGCAAGGAGGGAACTAGTCTGAACTCAATGTTTTGTGCAGTCTGTTATTGTGGCTAAGATCATTGGTGTTCAGTTAGTCTGACTAGACATCCCCTTTATTTAAGGACAGTATGTGCTGCTTGGGGCCATGTTCTTTGGAGTAGCCCTCAGGGTTGGAGCCTAGAGCAGTGGTTTACACCAGGCTTAGAGTTGACACAAATTTGTTTGCTTTTCTTGTCTGCTTGAGGCATGAACATTAGTGAGAAACTTTCTAAGGTCCTGCTGTGTTTGTCAGAGCATTGATATTATTAGTTTGCCTTCCTTCCACAGATCTGTCAGATCCCTCCAGCCCTGTGGAGTTCGTGAGGCACGGAGACATTATTCGTTTGGAACATAAAGAGTAAGGATACTTTCTGGGATTCAAAGATATTGCAGGTTTGAACAGAATTGGTGGGAGATTTGTCCTGCTGGAGACTACATGGTTAGGGCAGCACAAGCAGGCTGTGTGACAGAGGTGAGGTATCTGTGTGTCTGCACCTCCAGTGTGAGGTTTGTAGAACTCTTCTGGTTTATATTTTGAAAGGTGTCTGTTAAATGGGAAACTTTGAACAGAACCTTATTTGAACAGAACTTTATTAGAAATACCTGCGTAAGCAGCAGAGGGATTTGTTCAGCTGTGAGTTGTGATAGTCAGGGTAACTTTTTTGCAAGAAGCAATTTCAAAACCCTCATTCTGTTGCTTGTTCTCACTGTATGAGTTTTCTAGGCAAATGGGGGGGGGTTCTGGCAGTGTACTGCAAGTGTCCTGTTCCTATGTGTATAGGCAATATCCACCTGCTGAAGTTCTCAACAGCACTAAGATCACAGCAGTGAAACACTGAATGAAAATGTGGACTGGTGCCTTCCCTCTCTGTAGGGAATGCCTAAGAGGAAGCAGGGGAACTCTAGTGACTTGATATCTAGTCTTTGTGTAGTCTAATGTCACTGTGCCAAAAGGCTCTGCGCTGTCATGGCTTTGATTCCTTAACCTCTGTTAAGGGAAGCTGTCGTGTTGTATTCAGCGTGGCGTGTGCACAACTCATCGCTTAGGTTTTGATTTTAAGATTATTTTTTAAGCCTCTTGAGTTTGGAGTTTTCCTCTCAAATATATGAGAGAGAACACGATAAAATCTGGATGAGGCAGTATCGGTTGTGGTGATCGGGGAGGTGACGCGCGGTGCTGCGGGAGCTCCCGCAGGTGGCGCTCGCGGTACTGCCGTGGCGCATCGCGCGGGGTGCTGCGCGGGGTGCTGCG